TTAGACCTACCAATGATAGTGAATGGAAATTAGCATGATTTCTTTTCTCCCTGCTACGTTCTTGCTAAGAATTACCGCGACATATATTGTACATTTAAATGTTAATATTTTACGCACAGCAATGGAGAAATTTACAGGGAATTATCCTGCATAATGACTGAACCGTGAAAGCGTACAAGAATGCACGCTTGTTGATAAGATCATGTTAGCGGGAGACTTGTATTTTTTTATATTTTTTTCGCTCAATTCCACTTAATTCCACTGATTTGCCTGTACGAAAATAATCAGCATCCGAATATCACTAGATATATTTCTGTTATATTAACAGTCAGTTTACCTTACGACTCGTGGACTTGAATGAAATTATTTACGATCCTAACTTGAAAAATTCATGAGTTAAGCACATGAAAATGCATTGAGGCGACTCACGTAAGTGAAGGACGACCTTCACTTTGGTTCATTTGGGCCTCTTGCATCGACCAGATGTCGCGCTGTAAAGCCCTTCTGAAATATTCACTGCCCGCCGCTCGAGATGGTCCTTTTATCGTTCCCATCCTGTCTTTAAATGCAGCTTTTATTCCTGCCGAAACAGTTTGGGGCTCAAACTTGAATGCGAGGCGCTGCCCTCTTGAGTGCAGCTTTTGGATTTTAATTTTCAACTGGTAATTTGGAACTATCTATATTTTTTAGGTTTAGAATTTGGTTCTGAATACAAGCATCAATCATATTTGGAAAATTAATTGCAATTACATTTCATTATAAGTATTTAATTTGAAATCCGTTTTAAAGATAAGTAAATTCTATTATGAAGTTGGCAGTAAGTTTTAGTATTATTTTTCTTGCTTATATTCCTGTATGGATGACTCGAACTCAAATGAATAATATTGACAAGTTTATAGTTGATACCTGCTGATTACATCATTTTGCTCATTACATCATCATCATCTCGCATCATTTTAAACTGAGTTAAGCGACCACCGCCTCTGAATCAATAAGTTTGTTTGTGCTTCGCTTCATCGGGTACCGTATGTCTCGCTTTACGCACAGGGTTCCGTACATGTCAGAACCTTTCTTCGTGCGCGTAGCTCTGTTTTTCGTCCCAGTTGTAATTTATTCTGATGTTTTCATTTAGTTCTCCTCTTTGTCGATCGTTATTTAGAAGTATACGAGAGTGAATTGATATTTATCGATGTTAGCGTCCTGACCACACTAGTGTTGATGTTACAATCTGAACGTGGCTCATGAGAGCCTTTCTTATTTGTTTGAACATTTTGCTCGTAATGGGATTCTTTCACCACCAAGGTAAAAATTTAATAATGAATATTCTTGTTGAATGGAATTGATCAAAACTAAGAAAAACTGAACTTCATAATGAATGAACCTCTTGAAAAAAGTTTTCTTAATAAACTTTCTCTAAATTTATGAAAGATAAGTAACAGTCGAAAAGGAAAAATCACCCTTATATATCGCCTTTCGCCTTGTATATCATAAATTGGAAATATAACAACTAACTACTGCACGCATCATCTATTTTGTGACACAAAACTATGATGAAAGCTTTGCATTTATGGATATCATCTTAGAAGGATTTTTGAAACTTATGATGCATTGAATTGCACCCAACTTTAAAAACTATTACAACCATTCCCAGTGTAACCCTGAATAAGCTCGATTAACTTGAACAATATGATAGCTGCTTCTATGGCCGGCCTCTCTGACAAAATTATCAACTTTTCACAGCCAGTTGCCACAATTCAATATAACATTGTTATCATCACCAAACTTATCTCAATGCGGAGTAACGAACCAATCAAATTGCAACATCAATGATCAGAATATAACCTTTCTGGCGTCCACGTCTAATGCTAGCGCTAGAGCTTCGTTGAAGAAGCTACCGAACTGTCATCTATAACAATGGTCTTGGTGTCCCCGTCGATTCTCAACTCCAGAGCGTTGATGAAACTATCAACTTATCATTGATATGCGTGGCCAGAACACACAGTCGTATTGCTACTGATTCTAAATGTTCCTTTCTATAGTTTGTTGGATCAAGCTTAACTAATGTGACTTGACCTAGTAATCGAATATTTAATTGTTATTTGAAATTAGATATCAATTATTAGATATAAATAGTTTTTAGATTTCATCATTTTAAATATTCGATATAGCATATAAATTATATTTATATAATTTATATAATTAGTGTAAATTTATATTAGATTAATTAGTAATTAGGATAGATTATATTTATATAATTTAGTTAAAAATGGATAGAAATATATCTGTAAATTTTAAATTGAATTCTAATTAATTTATACCTTTAGCCTTGACATATTTTTATCTATAATAATGTTGATTCTGCAACTCTATTGCAGAAGCTGTATCCGCTTGATGTATATGTCAGCCGTCTAAAACACGCTGCCGTTAATTGTCATCCAAATCAACTGTTGCTGCTTGTCGTAATAAAGAACTAGTGCGTGACGTCATGTAGCAAGTTGTAATGAGGTCCGGCTGCGACTAGGTATTGTCAGTCTCTATGCAATAGCCAGTACGAATGGACCTGACCCCTGCTGTTCTATGATGTAAGTGCAACGTTCCTTACCTCTACGAATCTTACTTGTTGACTGTTATATATTTCCCTTGTTACTGTTATGTTATATCGTTCCGTGTTGCGTTTATAAGTATTTTACATTAGTTGTTATGTTTCCAGGTAACTGGGCATTTGTTCAGTAAAGCTTGGATTGCCCAAGTTTATTCGATCCTTGATCCCACAACAATTTACTGAACAATATCCCAATGGAAAAATTACTGAAGCCATCGAGACTCGACCTGGATCCTAATTCACCAACGGCATCCAAGGAATGGAAACATTGGAAACGAACGTTCCAGAACTTCATTGCCGAATGTGGAGAAAACGCCCCTGACAAATTGCGAACTTTGATTAACTATGTGTCACACACTGTCTTCGATTTAATTGAAGATTGCCCTACATACGATGACGCCATACGAATCTTGGAAGCGTCTTTTGTTAAAACTCCTAACGAAATATTTGCGAGGCATCTCCTTGCAAGTCGTCAACAGCAATCATCTGAATCTTTGGATGAATTCCTCAGAGAGCTGAAAAGACTTTCTAAAGACTGCAACTTTAAATCTGTAACTGCAGAACAGTATCGCAGAGAAATGATTAGAGATTCATTTATCAAAGGCATTATCTCGCCTAGCATTCGACAGCGCCTTCTCGAGAACAAAACACTTGAGTTACAAGCAGCATATGATCAGGCTTATGCCTTGGAATTAGCTCATCAGAATGCCGAATCCTTTACGCGTCCCACCACGAATACTGTAGCAGTAATTCCTAGTTCGGACGGATTGCTCGATAAAGAGGATCAAAATCAAGCTTCGTCGGTGGCTGCCTTGCCTATGGCTAAGAAAAAGTGCTTTTTTTGTGGTAATTTATTCCACAAAAGGACTGTCTGCCCTGCGAAGGACGTTGCCTGCAACTCCTGTGGAAAGAAAGGGCACTTTTCAAAAGTCTGTAAAAGTAAAGGTGAAGGTAGTAAAGCGTCTACAAGCATTTATTCATCTGCGATGCTGGCAACTATGTCTTATCCACCGGGCCTTTCTAAAGCTGTCACTAAAGCTATTATTAATGGTCGTTCTGTTGCCGCATTGATTGATACGGGCAGTTCTGAGAGCTTTGTCAGTGCCGATGCTGCCCATAAATTACAATTAAACGTAACTTCCTCCAATAAACAAATTACAATGGCATCAACATCAATGAATATTAGGTGCGCCGGTACAACTACTGTTGATTTGGAGATCAACAAAGTCTTGTATAGATCCACGCCCCTGGGCGTACTCGACAACCTATGCTGTGAGCTAATACTTGGCCAAGACTTCCAACGCAAACACCAAAGCGTTCTTGTAGAATATGGCGGTGCAAAACCACAGTTTCGCGTTGGATCAGAAGCTTCTGTAACCGCACTTTCATCAGCAAAAGTTGAAGAACCATCGCTTTTTCCTAATCTGTCATCAAAATTTAAGCCCATTGCAACAAAATCCCGTCGCTTCAATGCAGATGACCAACTGTTTATCAAGGACCAAGTATCGAGCCTCCTGGAGGATGGAGTCATTGAGAAGAGCAAGTCACCGTGGAGAGCTCAGGTTGTAGTGGTTAAGGACGACAATCGCAAACGAAGACTCTGCATTGATTATTCACAAACTATCAATTTATACACTGAATTGGATGCATATCCTCTCCCAAGAATAGACGACATGATCAACAAACTTGCTGGTTACAGCATATTCTCGACCTTCGACCTCAAAAGCGCTTACCATCAAATTCCCATTCGGACGGCAGACAGAAAATATACTGCATTCGAAGCGTGCGGACGGTTGTATCAGTTTTGTAGAATTCCATTTGGCGTAACCAATGGAGTTGCTGCTTTCCAGAGAGCAATGCATGCAATAGTCAAAGAAGAGAAACTTGAAGATACCTTTCCTTATTTGGATAACGTAACGATTGCTGGACACAACCAAGCCGAACACGATAAGAACGTGAATAGGTTTCTCTCGGTCGTTAAAACCAGAAATCTATCATTGAATGATTCGAAGACTATAAAATCGGTGTCATCAATCAACGTACTTGGCTACAACGTCGGGAGTGGCAGCGTCAAGCCTGACAACGAACGCCTCCGCCCGCTTCAAGAATTTCCGCCACCCACAAATGCAGCATCATTACGGAGAGCAATGGGAATGTTTGCTTACTACGCGAAATGGATCCCAAACTTTTCCGATAAAATACAGCCTCTGATAAAGAATACTACATTTCCTCTGAACAAAGAGTCTCTTCAATCTTTCAATCTCTTGAAAAAGGAATTATTAAATGCAACCTTGCAATCTATTGATGAGAGTCTGCCATTTGTTGTGGAGTGTGACGCCTCAGAGGTTGTCTCTTATACACATCTAGATGTGTATAAGAGACAGAGCANATTCCTAGTCCTGCTGGGTCGTCCCCGCTGCCTGTACGGCCGCAGGATGTTGCGGAGCCGAAACCAGTGTCTTCTGAGCCCGAACATCCGGAAGAGAGGCCTCCTTCTCCCATAATCAGAAAGTCAACACGTTCACGAAAGCCTCCTGAACGCTATGGCTATGAATAGACTGAATTAGCAATATATAAATATTCCTTTTGTACTGCTGCTAACCTTTCACGAAATATTCGATTGTAAGACTATATGATAGATTGACAATCGTAGCAACAAAATTTAGGAGGGGAGAATGTCGTAATAAAGAACTAGTGCGTGACGTCATGTAGCAAGTTGTAATGTGGTCCGGCTGCGACTAGGTGTTGTCAGTCTCTATGCAATAGCCAGTACGAATGGACCTGACCCCTGCTGTTCTATGATGTAAGTGCAACGTTCCTTACCTCTACGAATCTTACTTGTTGACTGTTATACATTTCCCTTGTTACTGTTATGTTATATCGTTCCGTGTTGCGTTTATAAGTATTTTACATTAGTTGTTATGTTTCCAGGTAACTGGGCATTTGTTCAGTAAAGCTTGGATTGCCCAAGTTTATTCGATCCTTGATCCCACAACACAGCCCAAATGTCACTCAATGTTTTGAAATGCATGTTCCCAGACTGTGAGGGGTGATTTACAGTGGGCTGCGAGGTCACCTGATTTGAGCATTTGCGATTTCTTTCTTTGGGGACATCTAAAAGAAAGGGCGTTCAGAAGTTGCCCTCACAACCTACCACAGCTAAGGGAATGGATTATTGTAGCAGAGTAGCAGAGGTTATGACCATACCTCGCCATATGTGTGAACGTGCTGTAGGAACCTTCGAGAATGACTCCAACAGTGTGATGAAGCTACCAAACACCATCTTCCTGATATTGTTTTCAAAACATAAGTATTTTAAATGGCATATTATGCTAATCTCAAGGAAAATAAACTTTCTTCTTTATGTACCTCCATTACTCTTTTGTTTCGCCTTAAAACTGCTCATTTGGTTCTGCCCCACCCTGTATAAGATAGCTAACACATTTAAATTGTATATTGTTATCAATATATAACAAATAGTCAAATAGTTAAAGACTACTTATTGCTTTATAAGAGTTAGCTAAGCTGCTAGCTATGTACAATGTAGTGCAACACTTGATGCCTCTGTACCAAAAATATTCAATTTATTGGAACCTAATACACACTAAAGGCAACAAGTTTATATACCAATTTGTCATTCATAGTACATTTATACTAAACCATGAATAACAATACCTCAAAATAAATTAAAGACTGCCACTCAATATATTTAAGTATATAAAAAAATCGAAAAATCATGATTTTTTAGAAAAAATCAAAAGATTTAATCACACGATTTAATCATTTTCATTTAATCATTGCCAACCCTGTTGAATATATTTGCAAAACTGGAACAAAATTGAAAAAAAGCTTCGATAATTGGATAGATTTTTTATTTGCAAATCGAATGGTATATCTCTCATTGCTGTAGCTTGAAAACTCTAGGAGGAGATAGGTTTTGAGTTGAATAAGTTAATTGTTCAGTAGAACCGGCAAAGTCCCAGGCACCTCAAAATAGGCATTCAAGGTGGCAAGAATGCAAGACTAGTCGATACTGGAGCTCAATTCCTGTCAAGGATGGTGCCGCCAACGATGGTATGCAAACCCTCTCATTCAACTGCAGTGGGGCTACTGAAGCTAAGTGTGTGAAGACAAGATATTTAAAGTGCACTGCACCAATTATTCCCCATCTTAAATGCTTAAGAACTCTACCACCCCCACCCTTTTGCAATCTGTCATGAACGCATAAATCAACATACAGAGATGATTTTGGTACAGTTGGATAGGTCAGAATGTCAACTTTAAGATGAGACTAAAAACTGGAAAAACCAAAATTAGAAAATTTAGGCCAGACGCTCCACTTAAGCACACAATTGATTGCTTTATGCATGCATCAGCAATATTTGATGCAGAAAACTTGGCTATGTTTGAATGTGGCACATAAAATAGAAATAGAAACTGTCTTGAAATAGACATGAAATTCCACAACATAAACATCAGTGCAATGTTTTTATTCCATTTTTCTGGTCACTATTTTTTGTTTGCAATGGTAAATAGAAAAACGGAGTACTGATGGACATTTTTAATTCATTAACAAAGTTAAACCTGCTTAAAGGAACAAATTCTGTCAACCAATACTAACATAGAAACATACACATTACTAAATTGAGGTGCTACATTGTTATAGGACTCTAAGTACAATGTGTTATCAGCTATGTTGTGGGAGTGAGGGTTTGTTGCAAAGGGTTAGGAAAACAAGGAATTAGTGATGATCTCCACCTCCCCTACAACCATCCCAATCCACCTTTTTATTCAACATTTTTCTTGTATTCATTTAATAATTTATTAAACAGCAACACAAAAAGATCAATGTATGTACAGCAGAAAGATGGGGAAGAAACCAGTGCAAAACCAAGGCACGGGGGACTACTCAACCTCAAACAATGGTATGTACCAGACTGCCTATTTTTACCCAGTCTGAAAAGCTAACATGGAATTAACATGAAAAACCTAATGAGTGCACTAAATCCAACCGTAAAATGTCAATTACAACACCTTTAATGTGATTAAGTTAGTTAATCATTTTAGGCAGCATGTAGTCTACTTATAATGTCTACACTGACTTTTGTACTCTTGATTTAATTTTATACTTTGATTTCACATGTCTTTGCATCTCATGAGATGCAAGTTTACCGGGCCCCTGGTAAGAAAATCCTACTTGGTTGCAGGATCATTGAGAAGGGCTTCCCACAATATTGTCAAAGGTGTTACAATATCTGAGCTCTATTTATCTTCATTATCACATAAGTTATTAGAACCTAATTGACAAATCACCAAGCAATTAGTCATTTTAGAATAGATGTATTTGCTTAAATGACCATACCACATTAATGTATTCAAAAGTGATAAAATAATACCATCAAACAGAGTAATAAGGGACGATTTTGAGCATTTTTCATTAATAACTTCTTACCATGAAGCATTTCAGAAATGAGTTTGGGCTCATTTTAAAGGCTTGCAAGGGCAACTGTGTGGTAATTCCAAAAAAAATCCATATGCTATTTGCAAGGTGCCAGACACAGAAGAAAAGTGCCATGAATCACCCCTAGGAACGGGGCAATTTGAGATACTTGAAATAAAACCTAATTTTAAAACGTTTGAAGCATGCATGTTAATAGCACATGCTTACAAGATGCTCACCCTATCATGGTTCATGCTAGATTCCTGTCCTCAACAGCATTGCCACCAACTTGCGTCACGTTACAGCCAGCCCATGCCACGTAGGCTACCGGGGCTCCCTGAACCAATCAGAGTGCATCACAAAGCCATCTCATGACTGAACAAGTGTGACGTGACGTCACAACCACTGACCAATCCAACCAACACCAGCAGACCAATCAGATATCAACATTTCTCCCTAGTTTTTCTTCTACAATAAACAAAATGCAACCAACAACACAAATATCACAAAGAACGAGAAATCACAATACAACGAGAACAAAATAATGAAACTATTAAACCTACTAATACTACTATTTACAAATTAGTATACTTTAACAGGTTCTACTGGCTACTGGTGGAGCAGCCACCAATAGCTGACAAAAGAGGTTTAGGACAAGCGCCTCTCTTTGTAAGAACATTGGCTAGTTGTAGGGATGACCAAACCCACGTGATGCTTTGAATGTCATGCTTTGACAACATATCCCGTATGACTACCATATTTATACAAAGATGTTTGTTTTCAATTGCTTTAGTGGAGTGCACGGCATCAACTAGGGATCTATTGTCAACAAAACATTTCACAACAAAGTCACTGACAGAAAGATTCAGGCACTCAGCTAACAGAGTTGCAATGTACACCCCATCCTCAGCAGAATCCAGAAGAGCTAAAGTTTCAGCAGCTAAAGTAGACTTCACCACCCTTCGAAGTTGCTTGGACTGCCAGGTCACTGGACATCTCATTCCCATCACTATCAACAATGAAGATGACATGACCTCCCTGTGAACCACGATCTTCAAGATTACCGAATGATGCATCACTATAGCATTCAATAGTCAACTAGTTCTGGTCACGAAGCTTTGGATACTGGATAACCACAGAACAAGATTGTACCTTCTTAACGACCTTGTTGGCACAAACAAGATCATCAACTCGAGCTTTGTCAAAGACAGAGCTCAACTCACAGACGTCAAATGAAATATTTGGACGAGTTTGAGTAGCAATCCAGTTCAGTTGTCCAACCAATGCTCGGTAATCTCTCTTTTCCATTTCTGAGAGCACATCCGAACAACTTCTCTTATCCTTTCCTTCCAATTTGACCTCTTCCAACGATCAAACATAGTCATCTTGGCTTAATCCAATTCCGCCAGCTGAATCTCTTTCCAAGTGCACACCGATGTACTTGAAGGAACCACGGCTCATTATGAAGGAGCCAACTTGAACCAACTTGTCCTTCAATGAATTGATGACTGTATCTCTGAAGAAGTCCTCTCCAGCCCAGCAAAAATCATCCACGTGGATGCACATGATGCCAGACAGTACACCCTCCTTGAAGTAAAAGAACAGTGCACTGTCCAAGCTGCACATCACCATACCCATTTGTAAAAGTACTTTCTTTACTCTGAAATACCATGCGCATGCTGCATCACAAAGACCATAAACCATTTTCTTCAGCTTCCACAAGAAGCCCTTATCAAATTCCTTTGGTGGTCAAACATAGATATTACAGTCAATTTTCTCGCCTTGCAAGAAAGCTGCTGTAACATCCAATGAGTTACAGATCCAGCCATGTGCGGCAATAACAGTTAGGGCTACTCGATGCAAATCTCTAGCACATGTAGGTGAATCAGTTCTCACATTTTCAAGGTCCTCTTCGAATCCCCGGGCAACAAGTCTTGCTTTGATGATAGTATGACCATCCTTTCCTTCTTTGTGATAACCCAACGAACAGAGAGAGATGGCTGTCCAATATTTTCAACCTCTTCAAACACTTCGTTTTCTTTCCAATTGTTGTACTCTGCTTCCTTGGCTTGTCGAGTTCGTGAACCACACACTGTAATGAGAGTCTCTGCCTCATTTGGCAATGTATGCCATTTTTCAACTTGTCGGCACAAGTCGACCCAATCCACCTCACCATTATCACGTCTGACGTTGTAGCAAGCCATCATATATTCAACCTGCCTAACCAGCTCGACTGAGAAAAGTACCTAGCAGAAAATTTATCCCCTCCATGCTTTGGCCAACATTCAATTTTCTGGCCGATTTTTGGCTTGCAAGCACTGCTGTGAGTAGGAGTAATGAAGCCATCAACGACTTCGTTTCGTTGAGCTGGTTGCTGTTGCGCAATATCATTGTCATCCGAAACATAGTCCACTGTAGCAGTATCACTGTGAGTGTGTTCCTGGCATGCTTCAGGGGCCGATTGTGCAGCTCTGAGATCAGCTGGCAAGATTGGAGTGTTGGCAGGTTCCGTGTACTGAAGTCTGCAGGTA